ATGGACTTTAAACATTGTCCGTAACATTTTACTGAAATTTGTTTGTTTAAGGCAAATGAATATTACCAGTTTGAATAATATCTAACTTGTTTAACTCTTCAAGGACACTATCTGGAATTCTCCTGTGCGATTTATATTTTTTTACTGCATACTCAACTAATTTTCCGCTAAGACCTTTCCTGTAAAGATCCATATAACGCCAGCACTTTCTTGAAAACCTCCGAATAGTTATCAAGGATACTGATTCAAGACTCTCAGGGACTGTTCTTTGTAATCCCTCCCATGAATAATTACAATTCTCACGTGAGTGTCTTTTGGCAGCTCCCCAATATCTTTCGATAAAGTTTAACTCGCAGTGAAACTTTGGAAAGAAGATGCATTTATGTCCTGCATTCTCAATTAATTCTTTAATTGCATTCTTTTGAACAAGAAAATCGTGCTCCAGAGACATTACTCGACGTGCACAACAAGCAACTCTTGAAGAGTCTTCGATCTTTTTTTTGCAATTTTTGCATTCTAATATTAATCCTTCTGATGGCCATTTTTCTCGTTCTATCAACACTTGCTTAATTCCTTTAGGTTTTCCTCGAAGTTTCTCATCTGAATGTGTTGTCGGAAAGACCATCGATTGTAACTGATTATTTGGTCCAAAAAAAGTATTATGCATGATTGGTTGCTTTCCGCCTGGACTTAGATTCATCCTACTTGCAAGTAAAGCATCTTTGCTAAATGCAGCATGGTTAGAGCTGTTATCAAAAGCAAATACAGCCATACAATCTGGATACAGGGTCTCAAAAATGGGAATCGCTTTATATTTAATTTGTTCAAGAAGATGTTCCACTGTCCAGTAACCTTCTTGATTTATACCAGGCCTTAAGTAACATCGTGCTTCTTTTGGTATATCAGGGTATTTTTCTATATCGGATTGATGCAATTGTAGACGTCCATCAATTTCAGTTAGAAATTCACTAACCATAATTGACCTTCCGTTTCCTTTTTTTTTTAGTGGCATATTTCCATCCTTAGCCCACACCCCACGTTTGCCATCATTCGAATAAAAAATACATTCATCGTGGACAACAAGAACTCTTTCTTTCTCTCCTTCAGGTAAATCAGGATGTATTCGATCCATAAATTTGCCTTCGTATTTTGACATGTACTTCTCATGCGCAAATATTTTTTCTAAAAATTCCTTTCGATATCGCAAGACATCATCTCTTTCATGTCCATCGTAATATATACCTTGACGATGCTGTCGGAATGAATAACCAAGAACTTTGAACCATCTTGCTGCAGTCATTAAATAAATGGTTTTTTTCTTCATTATTCCAATATTAGGAAACAATTCTTGCTCAATGAATTTTTTGAATGTGGTCGGCGTGGCATTGAAATTTTGGTTTCTAATCCAAATATGACACTTCTCTGCAACATCTTCATCATCGATAATTCTAATTGTTTTTTGATGTTTTCCATGCCTAGCTATCGGGAGCTTATCATTTAACAACAAATAGTTTGCAAGGTACCGAAGTTTTCGCGCTTTCCATGGACCACCATCGATAAAAACCTTTTGAGCAACATCCAAACTGGATTTAATTTTTCCGCGCTGATTATTCTCTTTTAACAAGGTAAGGTATTCAAAAATAGCTCTTCTATTGTTATACTCAACGATGGTTAATTTATCATGTTTTGCTAACTGCTCTTTTAACTCTTGTACTCTTTCGTTTATTCGACAAGCATGCAGATCAATAATCTCATTCTCTGAATCACTCGAAATTTCTCCTATTTCATTAGGTTCAAGCGATGTATCTTGAGCATTGCTAACGTTAAAGAAGCTGGAGATTTTTTTTGTCCCAGCCGCCGCTTTAGTGAATACGCCATTCGGCCCATACTTATCATAATAGGTCGACTTTGGTATCTTGCTTGTCATGTATGGACCTCGCTTCGTTTTTTTTAATTGATTATCATCTGTCCATACTAAATTGAGCTCCTTTAATTTTGTATTTATTTTGATTTCGTCTTCCAAATTCTCGGTGTCATCCCAACCACTATCGTCATCATCGCCCCATATTCCATCGCTAACATTTAGTTCGTTAAATTCATTTACTTCAGTATCATAACCGGAGCGATGTGATGTTTCTTGTTGGATGTATATCGTCCTTTCGTATCTCTAGATTGGTCATTGGCTTTTTTTTTTCCTTTCGAATGAAGAGGCATTTGTTTTTACTAATTGATTTTTTTTACGCGATGATATTAATCTGTAATAATGGAATTTGCTATTCGGAGTCACGTGATTTTTAAAGATTTTTATTGGTCAAATTCCGAATGATGGGCGTCCGAAATTCGAAGATTAATAATAAAAGCATCCGACTTTAATTCCTAATAACTTTTCATAATATAATGTAATTAAAAAAAGTAAACCATAAATCTGAAAGAGAATCATTAGATCTAACGTTTTTACGGTTTACATTTTTAATATTGTTTAAATTGGTGGACTAGA